TGCTGACCCACAGATATCAGGTGACATGATGTTTCTTGTGGCTTTAAGCTGCTAAGTGTGGGTTACTAATATACTCGGAGGAGAGAGATGACACCCACAGTCACATGTCACAGGACACCCACCTTCAGGCCCTTTCTCCTGGGGAGAGCGAGGACGGCGAACTAGACAGGAAAGAGGAGGCAGCTGAGGACTGAGACCGTTATGGAGCCAAGTCCCAGCCCTGCCGCTCAAGCTCGGTGCCCTCGGGCAAGTTACTTAACCACTCTGAGCCTCAGTTTGTTCGTCTATGAAGTGGGGATAGCTACACTGACTTGACATCTTGTTGCCAGTATTATATGTCCGGCCAAGGACCCGGATATTGTGTTGGTGGGGCTGTGTTACTGGGGTTCACCCAGGCAGCTGGGAGCCCCTAATGTTTGTTCCTTCCCAACTCTGAGGAGTGCGCTCCCTGGCGCCAGCCTCCAGTGGCCACTTCTTGCCACCGTCCTGAGTGACCAAGATCCAGCTGGTGTCCTGGGCCTTGAGCGGGGAAGAGTTCCGGGGGCTTGAATTCGAGGTGGCCGGAAAAGCCCCCGCGCAGAGTCCTGCTTTCCTCGAGGCTTGGGGAAAGGTACTCCACAAAGTACCTGGGCCAATCAGAGCAGAGAGACCCAGGCCTTCCCCCTCCGGTTTTCGGCCTCCTACCTGCCCGCTGCTGCCGGTGGCAGCAAGAATCCCTTTATCTGCTGAGGGTATTTTGGGGCTGGGGTTCCCAGCTGTTGGGGAAGTCCCTAAATTTCCTGAACCAAGTAGGAACCTGGTGTCTTGCTCAGCATCCCTTTGGTGACACGGGTTCCCAGTCCCCCCCCAAGAGCTCGCTGCTGCACCTGCCTTCCGCCCCTTCCTGCGAGACGCGCTCACCTGCCTGCTTCCTGCCGGCCCGGGCTTGGCTCCCGCTCGCTCTGGCGGCCAGGAGGGGCCTCCGACCCCCTGTGATCCCACAACAGGGCCCGCTGCTGAGCCTCAGGGGCCCAGGGACTTCCCCTCCCAGCTCCTCAAAGCACTTTCACATGCTGTTGGGAGTTCAAGGGCGCAGAAACCTGCAGCAAGCGCAAAACCCGCGTGGCCTCCACCCAGGGCCCTCTCTCGAGTCCCACGAGCTGCCATGTCTCTAGGCTTCTGCACTTTCCACGACAGAGGCCGCCTCCTCCGGGGTCCAGCCGGTCCCCGCTGGCCCATCACTGGCTCGCAGCCGCGTGCCCGGCGCTGTCTCAGGCTCCCGGGCGTCCTGGTTCCCTAGGGGCCACCGTTCCCTGGGGAGGATGGATGCAGGGGCCAGTCATTACAGTCATGACACCGTGAGATCAGTTCTAGAATTGAGGCACAGAAAACGACAGAAACTGCTTTTCTGACTGGGAAGATGGCGGGGGGAGAGGAGGGAACAGTGCCAGGAAAGCAGCGACAGGGAGGGGGCTGTGGGGCAGGTTCGGATGGTAACTGGGAGTCGAGGTGTGACCCAAGCGGAGGGCCAGTGCCGGCAAAGGCGTGGAGGGGGACAGCTGGGCGTGTGTGGCTGGAGCAGGGATGAGGGGAAAGGGAAGCTAGAGAAACGGGTTCGAGCCAGGCTGGGAAGGGCCTTGCGTACCATTGGCTCTGGGGAACCCTGGCCTAGTGAAGTCACTGCTCTGAGCCTCAGTTTCCCACCTACAGAATGGGACACAACAATAGGAACTCTTTATGGGGTTTCCCGGAGGATTCGAGGAACCAGTGCTTGAAACCTCTTAGTGTAAAGCAGGGGTGGGGAATATCCGGCCCGAGGGATGTAGAAGGCCCGAGAAATCAAAACCGGCTAACGTCACACGCCTCACCAGATCAGCCTGACCAAATATAGCAGGCTCATTTTTAAGTCGATACTTTTCTATGGTCTTTGAATGATGTTATAAATATCCAAATGGTCCTTGGCAGAAAAAAAGTTCCCCACCCCTGTCATAAAGGAAGCCCTCAAAGGTGTCTGTTATTATCACAATTAAGTAAATGCTATAATTTTTCAGGTGAGGAGAACCCTACCCCCCACCACACCTCTGCAAGTGTTCTGTGCAGAGGAGGCTTGGTGAATGGTCCCTTTAGAAGTCCATGGAAGGGAAGGACGGGAGAGAGAGACACTTGTCTGTTGCTACAATGATCATTTTTGAGGGGTGTGTAGTATTCCATTAAAAGAAAACGCCACAATTTACTTAACTATTCTCTGTTGTGATTCTTGGGGTATTTCCAAAATTTATAAGTAATATTTTAGGAAATCTTTCTTGTTTATAGTTTTTTTTTCCCAGTTGAGCTATTTCCTTAGTTTTTTCTTTACCAGGGTGAAATTATTGAACCACAAGTTGTAAACATTTTTTTTGTGGGGCGGCAGGGGAGGGACTTTGCTAAGAATTGACAATTACTTTCTGATAAGGGTGGAACCATTTACCAGCAGAGTATGAATGCGTGTTCTACTTTGAGGTGGGATTTTACCAAAGTTGTTTTTATAAAGGAAAAATAAAAACCACCCTGATGATTTAGCATCTTAAAGTGGTCAAAGGTTGTTTTAATTTGCATCTCTTCAATTGCTAGAAAGATGGAACTTTAAAAATGTGTGATTAACGTTGTTTTGTAGAGCCCCTTGCGTCAGCCATCCTGGTTGCTGTTCGGTTGTGTGTGTGTGTGTAACAAACATCTATTTATTCAGAGCACCCGCGATTCTCTACTAGAAAGCTGCAGCCTGGGGAGGAAGCATCTGGGTTGCCCCTGCCCCCCTAGTTCTGTAAACATCATTCAGGGTCACTTCCACAATCGCTTACTGTATTGTTTTTTTATTTTATTTTATTTTATTTTATTTTATTTTATTATTATTATTTTTTTATCCTCACCCAAGGACATTTTTCCATTTTTTGTACAGATAGAGTGGGAGGGAGAGAGAGGAAGAGGGAGAGAGAAACATCGATGAGAAAGGGATACATCAAGTGGCTGCCACCCGCACGACCATCCAGGGCCGGGGACAAACCGCAACCGAGGTACATGCCCTTAGCGGCAACCGAACCCAGGTCTCTCTGGACCGCAGGCGGACGCTCTAACCGCTGAGCCAAACCGACCAGGGTGCTTACTGTATTGTTTAACATGGTCCCAGCTCACACGTCCCAGGCCTGGTGCATCCAGGCGAGAGCCCAGAAGTGGGTGTCCTGGGAGGCACTCAACGCAGGCAGTTTTTCCAAGAGGCACCCAGGAACTCAAGGAGGGTTGGGCAAGGGACGGTCAGTTGTACAGACTTGATTGGGAGGGTCCTGGAGGGAGACAGCTGCTATGGGCCAGGTTGGCATGACCCCTTGCAGGATAGACTGAGGTGCAGAACCCTGAGGGTCCTTGGGCCATTGTGGGCACAGGGAAAGCAACCAGAGCACCGAGGACTGGCTACCTGTTTCTGAGCCTCGGTTTCCACATGTGGAAAAACAAACAAGACAAGCAATGAACCCTTGACCTGCAGCCCAATCTGTGCTCAGTAAACATGTGTGGGATGTAGAAGGAGAGGAACAGAGACCCCGTGGGAGGAAGAAGCTGGCAGGGAAAATCATCCCACTGCTAAGGAGAACTTCACTCGAAGGAGGCGCGTATAGTTTCCTTCTTTTAGGGGAGATGACTAGGCTCCTCCTCTAGATAGAAAACTCTCGAAGCAGGAACACACCATGAATGGATAACCAAATGTTCTGTTCTCCCATCAGTCCCTCCAATAGTCAGCCCACCTACTGATCCATCCATCTACCCGTCACCTGCTCACCCATCTTACCCACTTACCCACTCATCCATCCATCCGACTATCCCCCACGCATTCATCCACCCACCACCCATCCACTGACCCATCCATGCCCCACCCACCCATCCATGCATCCACTCACTCATTCACTCCCCCACCCATCCACCCACCTGTCCATCCACCCACCTACCCACCCACCCACACATTCACTCACCCACCCACTCACCCATCCATGCCCGACCCACCCATCCATGCATCCACTCACTATTCACTCAACCAGTCATCCACCCACCCCACCTACCCATTCACCCATCTATCCGCCCACTCACCCACCATCCACTTACCCACCCATTCATCCATCCACCCACCTACCCACCCACCCACTCAACCATTCATCCATCCCCTCACCCACCCATCCACCCACCCGTCCATCCACCCACCTACCCACCCACCCACACATTCACTCACCCACCCACTCATTCATACGTCTACCCACCCATCCACCCTCCACCCATTCACCCATCCACCCCCTCACCCCCACCCATCTACCCCCCATTCACTCTAGATGTATGATAGATTCATACATCTGTCCACCTACACATCCACTCAATCACCTATCCATCCTCCCACCCATTCATTCATTCATCCACCCACCCACTTGACCACTCACTCACCCACTCATTCATCCACCCACCCACCCGACCACTCACCCATCCATTCATCCATCTACCCCCCACCCATCCACTTATCCACCACACCCATCCATCTCCCCATCCCCCTATCCCCAACCTCCCACCACCCATCCACTTATCCATCCATCCATCCATCCATCCATCCATCCAACCATCCATCCATCCATCCGCCCTTCTACCCATCCTTCCATCATCCATCTACTGGTGCATTTTATAGTAAAGATACATAGATGGGGTTGAGTGGTTGGTGGTGGCTTTCTCCACAGTCTCCCTCTTCCAGGGTCTCTTCCAAACAATCTCCAGGGCAGGAGAAAAGTCTGAGTTGATCAATGTCAGGAGCAGGAACCTATTCAGGTTTTGCTTTTCCTTGGGGTGGGGGTGAGATGGGACCGCTGGGACCAGCTGGAGATTCCCAGCCTCCTGTAAGTCCCTCCTCTCAGGGCTGGGAGCTGCCTTTCTGCCCCTCAGTCCACTTCAGCTGGGGCCACCCTAACCCCTTCTCTAGGGTAAACCATTCAAACAGCAAAAGGGGTGTGTGATTTGTTCTGAGTCATCATCTCAACACGTGTCTGTCCCCTCGTTTTTTTCTTCAGCTGCAAGTGGCCCATTCTTTGAACCAGTTCTGGGTTGGCCTCCGCACCGGTCTCTGGCAGGGAAGGGTTAAGGCTGCATCTTGAAGGAGCAGCCGACTTGACTCCCCAGCGTGCGGTTGGGCAGTGAGGCTGGTGGGGCTGCCTAGTTGAGCGGGGCAGCGAGACCAGCCCTGCTCTGCCCGGGATGTTCGCTCTCCACGCAGTGATGGGACTGTTGCTCCTGGGGGTGCTCCGAGCCTTCCCGCAGGTAAGGGGGTGTCAGGAGCCTGGGGAGGCGCCTGTGGTCCAGAGCCCCCTCCTTCCCATCGCCGCCCTGAGCTGGGGACAGTGTGGCACATGGAATGCAGGGGAGGACAGAAGTACTCCTTGCCTCAGTCCTCACCCAGCTGAAGTGAGGGGGTGCAGGTGACAAGCAGGGGGACCCGAATATGCAAGTATGATAAGGTGGCAGGTGGCAGCCTGCCCTGAAGGAGAACAGGAATTACTCTCTTGTTTATCATCAGCTGAGCTGAGGGGACTGTCTGCAGGTGATAGGCTGTTTCTGGGTGGGGGTCCTGTGCATCTTAGGCGAGGACCCCCAGGGTCTGGGCAGGCCAGCTGGGGCCTCCCGTGGCCAGAAGAGGTTGGTGTTGGGGCTCTTTGCTACACCGCCTGGTCCCTAAGCTGGCCACTGGCTGAGGAAGGTCTAGGGAGGGAGGGAGAGATCAATGATATTCTATTGAATCTTAGGGCAGGGGATGGAGGGCAGTTGGGTAGGCTTCAGGCAGAAGGAGGGAGAGTTTGGATGGGAAAAGGGGGACGTGCAAGTGCCCCTCTTTCCTCTTCAATGGGGCAACATGAGAACCCCCCCGCCCCCACCCACAGATGGCAGAGGGGGCTGCTGACAGGGTTAACACGACAGACTCTGGCTGGAGAACCACCTCCAAGCCCCCTGCTGATGACCTGGGGGCGGGGGAGAGTTTGGGGTGCCAAGGTCTTGGGGAGGCAAAGGGGAGGGAGGGATGTGATAGGGACCTCGGGTGTGGGGGGGCTTTGCTCGTATGTGGCTGAAGCTCATGCACTCCCTTTCCATAGAGCGAAACCCCTCTTTAAGTAAAAAAAAGAATGTGCATTTCATCACACAAGGAATAGATAAATATATCCTCCCAGCAAGAAATGGAAAAACCTTACAGATAAAGCTCAATCTTTAGACATCGCCTCATCTTGAGTCCTTCAAAGGTGTCACTGCCATTACCGCTTCGGTTTTCTAGAAACTACAGGTTTTCGTATGGCTTCTGCGGTGTCTGTCCCCGGCTTGGAAAACTTGCTACGCTGATGCCGGCTCCGGCTTATCTCGGAAATCCAGGCGGTCGCAGGCACAGGGGGTGTGTCCATAGTTTATTTACATCCCTGACGGTCGCAGTAAGGTTCCGATAAGGTTCCTATGGTCGTTGTGTGTTTGTGTGGGGATGCGAGCGCCTCTTTCCCGGAGGAGAGGCTGAGAAGAGGGGCCGGGTGCTGGGGGCGGACGCTAAGCCATGAAAGGGTGCTCGCCTTCCAGGGAGCCTCCCAAAGGGCAGCGAGTAGCCACCTCCCCACATCCTAACCGACTTTTGATCTTATCAGAGTTGTTATTTTTGTCAATGTGATCCGTGAAAAGGATCATATCCTTGTTGTCTTAATCTGCATTTCCCGCCTACTAGAGAGGCCGAGCGGCTATCATGGGCTCAGATACTGAGTGGTTTCTTGGCAGGAATGAGGGGCCCCTGGGGGAGGGGCTGCCTGCCCCCTTGATGCTCCCGCTGACCGACCCGTCAAGCCTTCTTCCATTCCCATGTTGCCCCAGTAAAGATTTGAAAGGTTCAGTATTAAAAAAAAAAAAAAAAAAAAAAAAAAAGCCCTGGCCGGTTTGGCTCAGCGGTTAGAGCGTCGGCCTGCGGTCCAGAGAGACCCGGGTTCGGTTCCCGCTAAGGGCATGTACCTCGGTTGCAGTTTGTCCCCAGCCCTGGTTGGGTCATGTGGGTGGCAGCCACTCGATGTGTCCCTTTCACGTTGATGTCTCTCTCTCTCTCTCTCTCTCTCTTTCCTTCCCACTCTATCTGAACAAAAAAATAGAAAAATGTCCTCGGGTGAGGATAAAAAAAAAAAAAAAAAGGCAGGGCCTGACTGCTTAATCTCATTTTCATCGGTCTGGTTTTATGACAGCACATGTCTTGGGGCTGCCCTGGGGCGGGAATGCTTTCTTGCTGTGTGTCACCTTCTGAGAAAGACATCTGGCCCCTGCCCCCTCATACCACAGTCTCCAGTGCTTTTTGTAATGCAACCCAGGATTACTCTGGTGCAAATCCTGAGAGAATTCTTGACTCTGTCTCCTTCTTCCTGACCTCCACCTTTTTCATGCAGGCTCCCCGGAGTGGGGTGCAGGGGTCTGGGGAGGGGGGCTTAAGGTCTTTCCCTGAGCTCTGTTGACGTAGAATTCTGCAGCTATCATCTCCCAGGCCAGGCCCAGGCTAAGGGCGGGCTTCCCTCCCTCCCTCCCTCCCTCCCTTTCTCCCCCCTCCCTCCCCCCCTCCCCCCTCCCTTTCTCCCCCCCCCCCATGCTGTTCCCCACTCCGCTCTGGCTGGCTGGCCAGCCGGTGCAGACCTGTGCCCTGAGCAGGTGCTCCAGCTGGGAAAGGTTCTGAATAACTGCTGAGTGCTGAATAACTGTGTGTCACTTCTCCCACCAGGGATCCCACACTTGAGCTAGTGACCCCATCCAGCGAAGGGCTCATGGTGGGATTTTACGGGCAGGAGGGCTGGACAGACTTTCGGTTCTGTTATGAAAAGCGGGCGTTTCCAGGGCGCTGGAATCCTGCAGGAAGGCCAAGTTCCACCTGGATGAGGGGACCCCGAGACCGGGGTCCTGACGGGCAGGGCAAGGAGGTGCGAGCTGGTCGGTGGGAATCTTGGCCTCCCCTTCTTCAGAGAGGCCAGGGCAGCAGGGCGAGTGTGGTGGGGTGGGGGGGCCATTACTCAGCTTGAGAGCAGTCAGTGCTGGGAGGACAGCGTTTACCGTAAGTCTCTGCTCTCTCCCACTCATATCTGACCTAGGCTTGTTTCTTCAGCTCGTTGTGATTCAGCCTGAGGCTCAGATGCTCCTTCCTCGCCCCTCCCCCTTCGCCCCAGGAACGCTGTCTGTCGAAAAGGAAAATGGCCGAGGATGTCTGTCTGGGCCTGGGAGCACCTGCAGGCTTGGGGGTCCTTGGCACAGATGGTTATTTAGCCCAGCTCGAGCCAGCGTGGCCTCGTCGGGCCTGTGCACTGACCCTGGGGGTGGCCCATCGGGGATCATGGCCTCCATTTCCCAGATGACGATGTGAGGCCTGGGGCGGGGGGGACGGAGCAGGACCAGAGTCCCAGCCCAGGGGACAGAATGTCCACAGAGGCAGCTCTGAGCAGGGCCAGTCCTCTAGCCTTACTCTCTCCTCCGACTAGTGGGCTGTTGGGTTTGAGTTGGCAGAACCTTGTTCTGGAAGCTTCGCTGCCTATGGTCAAAACCACCAGGCGTTCTCAGTGGGCTCACTGGTGGGAAGGGACTTTTTATACGCCACTCGGTCCACTTTCTCAGGGAGCCTAGATCTTTGGGGACATTCATCCAAGTATTCATGTATTCATTCACGCATGCATTTATTCATGCGGTTATGAATTTATTCATTCATTCAGAAAACCTTACAAGAGCAGCTGTGCCAGTCATGGCTCCAGGGGCTTTTATTCCAGGCTGTTCCAGATAATCACTCAGCCTCTGCTTGTAGGCCTCTGGTGACGGGGTGCTCACTCCCTCCCAAGGCAGCTCGCGCTCCCCTGGGTTAGGTCTCACGTGTGGACAGTCCGTATGAGGCGCTGACGTCCATCTCCTCGAAGCGTCTCCCCGTTGTGCCTGGTTCTGGGAGCTGGGGCTGCATAAGCAAGTCGTCCTCACCTTCCCTGGAAATGCCTCCCGGCAATGCGACAGCTTCAACCCTGGGCCCCGAGGTCTCCTGGTCAGTCACCCCATTCAGGGCCTCCAACATGTATTCCTCACATGGCATGAGCTTGGCGCCTACTCTCACCGACTCATTCCTTCTGCAAACATTGTCAAGCCCCCACTGTGCCAGGGACGTTCAGGATGCCACAGGGACACGGTGCCCACTGCCTCATGGAACTGACATTCCCATGTCGACAGACAGGCTGGTGCCCTGGAGATGATTATCACCAGCTAGTGTGAGAGAGGTGGCAGCTACCTCAGGCAGGAAAACGAGGAGGGCCTCCAGGAGGTGGTGCCATGCAGAGGAACCAGGAGGGCCTCCAGGAGGTGGTGCCATGCAGAGGAACCAGGAGGGCCTCCAGGAGGTGGTGCCATGCAGAGGAACGGAAGGAGGGAGCCCCCAATGGGACGTTAGCAGAACGTCTGGGCCCAGAGAACCAAGGCTGGATGGAGGAACAGGAAGGAGGCCAGTGTGGCTGGAGCAGAGAGGGCGAGTGGGATGTGGTAGAGAAGGTGACCGAGAAGGAAGCCATAACAGAACTTTGTGGACTGCCGGTTGGGGGAAATGCCGTCACATGACTTGTCCAGTTCCCTCTGTCTGCTGGGGCGGGGAGCAGGGCCCAGGCTGCTGCTGTGTACAGGGAAGGGCAGGTGGAACCGGGACTAGACTTTGGAACCAAAGCCACAGGACCCGCCGATGGGCTGAGTGCAGAGGGCAAGAGGGGACTCGGGGTCCTGTCCAGATGTGGGGGCTCCACATCTGGCTGAGGGGTGCTTTCGGCTCTGGAGGCAGAAAGAAGGCACGGGGCAGGAAGGTGTCTTGGAGAAAAGCACCAGGGCTGCCTTGCCCACGTTCGAGCATCGGCAGGGGTCGACTGCCGAAGTGTGGGCTCAGCGAGGGCTCGGCCCCCGATCTAGGTCCTTGGCACCAGAGGCGACTGCACACTTCCTGGTGTGGTCTCTGCCACCCATTCTCCCTTGCTGGTGACCCCTTACTTCTGGTGATGCAGCCCGCGATTCCAGACCTCCTGGCCTCCACGTTATCTGGTCCATCCGTTCCAACCCAAGGTAGGCCCTTCCATTCATCCTGCTGACGTTCATGGTAGCTCTCCTGCTGCTCCAGCAGTGATCCGGGACCTGCAGGCTCGGGGTGGCAGATTTATCCTCTTAGGGCTCTGGAGGTCAGACATGTAAAGCAGGTGGGCGGGGCGCATCCCTCCTGGAGGGTCCAGGTCCAGGGGGAGGGTGCCTCCTGTGCTCTT